GTTGTCTACACAAGACTCTTGTGTAGGTATTATCCTTGCTGTCACAACCATCTACCAAAACTTCGAGACTATGTACAAGGAAGGTGGTATCCCTCCTGAGCTAGCTGCTGCACTCTTCTAAGGGGTGTTTAGAGGACTCATCAATGCAATACTTACAATACGACATTCTTATCGTCAGCCATCAGCAGTAGTAGTTGCTGCTGCTGTTGTGGGGTTGCTGTGAGACTTCGTTGAATTGCCGACTACTTACCACGGACTGCCGGAAGAACTCTCCTCCCCAATCTTGAGTTCAGTACTATGGTCAATCATCACGACTATCAGTCGCTGGGGTCGAGGAACAGTGGAGTGATAGCAGATAGCTGTGCCCTTTAGGGTTTAGTGCATTTGGACTCAGGCTGCCCAACGATTATCTACTCGATAACGCGGGTCTGGAATAGTGGAGATTGTTGTTCCTGATGAGTTCCCCCCTGGCCTTCCTACGGGACTACTTTACAGAACTCATGCCCGATCCGACCACCTGTATCGGTAGATGCAACACGGTATCTGATGTTAGCGACTCGGATAAATTCACCGATATATATACCTACCGCCTGTAAGTGTAGTGAGCATCATATATAGCACTACTGCTACGGTGATAATACTTCCCGAGGGCGAATCCAGATGAGCAGCGTTGGAATATATGTTTGCTTTCCTCAGCTGATCTTAGGAGTGAGTTCGGAGTTTCCTCACGTGAAATAGGCGTTTATATACGAATTAGGATAGAAATGTACAGAAACCAATGAGAATTTCCCGAATTTTCCTCAAAATTTTCATATCGTCGGCCACACACGTAGTTGACCATGTGCATATTTTACCACACTGCAGATGAGTATTTCTAATATGACTCTTTTGTCAGCAGTGTGAGCAAATGCGCAATGGAAACTTCGGGAAAATTTGGGGAAATTCTTGTTGGTTTCTTCCCGAGCTCGTATGAATGAAAAAAATTCCGCAGAACTTCCCGAACTTCAGAATTTTCATATCGTCACCAACACACGTCGTTGAGCATGTCAGTGTTTTCCCATACTGCTTGTCTACATGGCGTCAAGTCGTTCGTATGATTTGATGCGGTTCAGATTTTGTCAGAAGGCCTGTGCAGCGGATGACAACGAGATCCGAGATATGCGAGGGTGTGAGGAATTCTGCCTCAAACTATGTTTCAAGGACAGTATTGTTGAGGATACCAACGCTAATATCAACTATGTGGTGCTCGACAGGTCAGTGAACATCATCATCATCATCATCATCATCATCATCAACAACAACGACAACAAGTTCAGTCTTTGAGTCCTTGCCCATGTATTTAAACGAAAAATTTTTGATGTTTATTTTTCGGTGCCCTCAGATCTCCGGGATCACCAGGAAACTCAGCGAAGTGTATGGAGATATGCACCGCTGGGTGCGGGTGAGAGGCATACCAACGGCATGAGCTTGATAGCTTCACTTTAGGTTCCGGCTTGTGGGAGGAGGGAAGAACCAAGACAATGTGTGGAGATGACATTCATTATGTTGTGTGTTGGTGTATCACCGTTTCACGTGGTGCCGTCGGAGTTGTGGCGCATAAGCAACTCTCGGGTGTTTACTGGAATCATCCTGAAATTTGAAATTACTTTCGTAGTCGTAGAATTTCTGTTGACATCGCCGATGGTTTAAATGGCGCGAATTATTCGGAGTTTTGGATAAATGGAAATATGTGGGAAAAAGAAGTTGTATGTATATACGGTATGTGTTGTTTGACAAGTAGTCAGTGAAGGTTGATTGAGTGAGTGTAGCAGTATTGGAAACTCATGACACATGTCATCGCGGTTGGCGAGGAAGATCTCAACGAGGAGCTCACACGAATGATCGCTTCTAATAGAGATGA